CCGTTCATTGCTTAAGGGGTGACCCCCAAGGGGTGTTTTGGAGGCGGCACCTTTGGGGGAACAGTTAGAGCCCTTAGTGTTAGAACAAGAAGAGGAGGAAGTGGACTTGGGCGTGATACCCGGAGGTCCAGTTGCATTGGTTGGGGAGTTGGGGATATCAGACCGGCCCATGGAAACTGGACTTCAGTCACCAGAGGGCGTTTTCGATTTGGCTCTGTCTGGACCAGTAAGTTCTCTTGGTGAATTAGGGATGGTAGCAGCCGGCCCCACTCCGGTTTTGGTTCCTGTAGTGGGTAGACAGCCGGAAGGGAGAGAGACTCTGGTACGACAAACAGGACGAGTAACGGCTGGTCACCATTCTAATCTTTATCACCTTCCTCGTACCGGGAGGATTGTACCCTCCACTGACTCTGCATCTAAATCTGTAGTTGCTATTTTTAGGCCTTGGAATTGAGGTGGGGTGGTTGTCCATCGTCGGGTCGGCGATGCAAAAGCGGGGGTAGATTGTGGTGAAGTGGCGCTTCAAGCATGACTCCGCCCCATGTATATTTACAGAGCCTTATTTAGAGTATATAAAGGGCATCCCAAGAGTAGCGGGATATTGCGTCATCATTGTGTCACCTGGGCGTCATGGTTGCCGGTGCTCGACAGCTCTGTGTGTGAGGTGGGTGTTTGATTGCCATAGCTATGGTTTGGCGACTAGATTGTGTGTTTACTGACTTTTTTTTGCTCAGCTGGTGTCTGTCCGGAGGTACTGATCGAACCGCTCGAGAGGGTGTTTCCTCTGCAACACTGCTGTAGTTCCAGTTTAGAATCAAACGCACGTAGAACACGGTGTGCTGTGAGTGACTGCTGCTCTTGTTGCTCTAGGAGACTATAAGTCTGAGTGGACGTCCATGACATGCGGAGTCCCTCAAGGCTCAATTCTTGCACCACTCCTGTTCAACCTATATATGCTCCCAATGAGCCAAATAATGAGAAAGAACCGAATCTCTTACCACAGCTATGCAGACGACACACAGCTCTACTTAGCCCTATCGCCTAACGATTACAGCCCCATTGACTCCCTGTGCCAATGCATTGATGAAGTAAACAGTTGGATGTGCCAAAACTTTCTTCAGTTAAACAAAGACAAAACTGAGGTCATTGCGTTTGGAAACAAAGATGAAGTTCTCAAGGTGAATGCATACCTTGGCGCTAGGGGTCTAACAACTAAAAATCAAGTCAGGAATCTTGGTGTGTCTCTAGAGTCAGATCTTAGTTTCAGTAGTCATGTCAAAGCAATAACTAAATCAGCATACTATCATCTGAAAAATATTGCAAGAATTAGATGCTTTGTTTCCAATCAAGACTTAGAGAAACTTGTGCATGCTTTATCACCAGCAGGGTGGATTATTGTAATGGACTCCTCACTGGCCTTCCTAAAAAGACCATAAGACAGTTGCAGCTCATACAGAACGCTGCTGCCAGGATCCTGAGCAGAACCAGAAAATATGAACATATCACACCAGTCCTCAGGTCTCTACACTGGCTCCCAGTTACATTTAGGATTGACTTTAAAGTATTATTACTGGTATATAAATCTTTTAATGGGCTAGGACCTCAATATATTGCAGATATGCTCACTGAATATAAACCTAACAGATCACTCAGATCATTAGGATCACATCAGCTAGAAATACCAAGGGTTCACTCTAACCAAGGAGAGTCTGCTTTTAGCTATTATGCCAGCCGCAGCTGGAACCAGCTTCCAGAAGAGATCAGATGTGCTCCTACAGTAGTCACATTCAAATCCAGACTCAAAACACATCTGTTTAGCTATGCATTTACTGAATGAGCACTGTGCCACTGTTCGTCCGACTGTTTTTACTGTACTTTATTTTTTATTCTAAACTGTTTTAATTATTCTTATTTGTTTTGTTATTTTAATTTCTTCTATGTAAAGCACTTTGAATTACCATTGTGTATGAAATGTGCTATATAAATAAACTTGCCTTGCCTTGCCTTGTGCTTGTAAATGGTATGAGAGAATGGTCTGCCGGATATTTGAACAGAAGTCCCGCTGATCGGCCGTGAAAGTGGAGGGCTGATTAGCCTTGACGCTGCTGTTTTGCTTAGGGGTGTTTTGCTTCTGGCTGTTTTGATTACGGCTGTTTTGCTCGTTGCTGTTTGTTTTTCTTATTGCAATATTTGGCTTATATTTGGAGATTAATTGATTATTCGTTTTTGTGGGGTTTTTTGCCTTTATTTTGGTAAGTGACAGTAAATTCTTTTCGTGTGTTTATTTTGTGTTAATTGTTTATGGCTGGTAACCTTAACAATTAATGCTGTTGTTTTTTGTACATTTTCTGTATCAATTGATTTTCTTTCTTTCTTTTCTAGGAGCAGGGGTGACCCAAAAGCGGGCAGGTTAGCCATCCTGTGCATGGTGAATGGAAACTCCTTTTAAGAGTGCCGTGTAGGTTTTCTTGCAGTGGATTTCACTGGTGTGTGTGTGTGTGTGCTTTGGAGGTTTTGGGCCGGGTGTACTTATTGCGGGCTGATTCGAAGTCCACTGCTCAGCCTGCCCAGCTAATGGTGCACCCCAGCTCTGTGATTAGAGCCTGCATTTGTTTCCTTGTTGGACCTAGTTGCTCATATACAAATCAGCTCAAAGATAAATCAGTAGCCTTGTCTTCCATATCAACTGTTTTACTGACCCTAGTGGTATTTTAAACTATTTATGATCATGAACGAACTTGGTATTTCCCCAGTTGGTTAAATGCTGGGGTGGCGTAGTCGTTATTTATTAGAGCTCTGTATTGGAGAGCGCAGCCCCTCTATAACGCCACACTTATAAGTGAAGAAGGTCATAAAGTCATTACTGTTGTGCTGCTTGGAAACTTCTGGGCTTGAATCTTTATTTTTCGTTAGGTGCTCATGCGGACGCGTCAAGTTTAAACAAGGCTTTACGCTTTAACCAGCTCAGCCACAGTAACAGCTCATATTAGCCAGCTAAACTTTTACTACCCTGTTAGAAAAAATATATAGTTGCATAGTTTCATGTGGTTCTTCTCCCTCGCTGTATTATGGGTTTGCTAGTATGTGGGGAGAAATGTGCTGGTGACGTTTGTGAGACAATCAGCTGATTACTATTATTATATTATATATTAAGACCCTTGATCCTCACCTGACTATGGCTTTGTAAACTTTATCCATGATGTGGTTTATAATGGACTGTGGTACAGAAACAGTGACAATGTTACACACTCTTGGCTTACTCTGGCTATTCTCTGCTGTCTCAGACAACGATATGTTTGTCCCGTTTTAGCCACCGTAGCTTCTTCGAAAGGGAGGGGTGAGCAGTGGGCTGAGCCCTTAGTGCAACTCGCAACCGAAACGCTAGATGGCGCTAAAAATCACACACTGCACCTTTAATGTAATGAACAGCAGCTACGCTAATTATTTTCCATTTGCTTCTCTGTTTTATCTTGGGATGCCCATCCTGAGGTAACTGAGCACGTCATCTCCAGTTTCGATCTGAAGACTTCAGATTCCCCAACACCTATGAAGAGACAGCGGCAACTCCTGCGAAGACTGGCAAGTTTGCTTCAGATGAAGCAAACTCTGAATTAACATGCACCAATGCCGAATTTTTCTAAAATTATTCATTGCTTCAATGAGCTCATTGTTTATGCCTTAAATTATTACATTGTTTAAATTAAAGGTTTAGTACGATTTACTCACCCTCAAGCCGTCCTAGGTGTATATGACATTCTTCTTCCAGACGAATACAATCGGAATTACATAAAAAAATGTCCTGGCTCACAAGCTTTATTATGGCAGTGAATGGCTGTTTCTGTTTTGAAGTCCATAAAAGTGCATCTATCCATCATAAAAGTGCATCTACCCATCATAAAAGTGCTCGACACTGCTATGTGAGGGTTAATAAATGCCTTCTGATGAGAAGCGATGTGTTTGTGTAAGAAAAATATCCATATTTAAAACGGCAGACGGCCTACGCAAGTCGACTTACACCAAAAGAGTATCACTTGACGATGTATGACGTAGGATATACAGTAGGAGTAGCGCCTCTCGTGGTTCAAACAAACAGGGCTGGAAGAGCCAGGACATTTTTTAAATATAACTCTGATTGTATTCGTCTGAAAGAAGAATGTCATATGGGATGGCTTAAGGGTGAGTAAATCATGGTCTAATTTTCATTTTTGGGTGAACTATCACTATAATACATTTTTAGCTAACTGTGATTTTGTATATGTACATTTCTGAAATACATAACTTACGACAGTTACCTCTAATAACAGATCACTCTAAATTGTGAAAAGCGCTATACAAATAAATGTTAATTGAATTGAATTATGCAAGTAGTCCATTGAGCTGAGCCATCACTCACAATGCACTCTTGCAGCCAGGCATACAGAATGTGTTGTGAATGTGACCGGTGTGTGAATGTGACAGGTGTGTGTTTTAGTGGGGAAATGTGTGCACTTTAGCATTTAAGTTGACTTTTGCTAAAAGTTGTCAAATAAATTTTAAAAGTAGCTAAATTTGTTGCTAAGTACTTTTTGAAAAATCAGTTGATAGTCTGAAAAGTTGCTAAATGTAACAAAATTGCTAAGTTGGCATCACTGCTTTCAGGTTTAACGCCAACCAGCAGGGGGCAACAAAGCTAAAACATGCTGATTAGCAAACAAATGGATGGTTTTGTGAGCATTCTAGAGTTGAGAAATAACACTATAATAGTCATCATCCCATGCTGATATGTTCTCATAAGTTTGTTTGTGTGTCTGCTCATATTTATAACTGCTCCAGTGGCATAACTGATATATTTGGTCATCAACATTTTTCAGTAGTAAATCGTTTATTTTCCCGCCTGAGATTCATCTGACAGACCTCAAAACATTGAATCTAATTTACAGTTAACGAAAGACATGAAAAATAATCTTTGGGCAGTTCATGCACAGTAGGCATCTTAGTACAAAATTACAAGACAAAATAAATAAACTGCATAGTAAAATATTTACAAAGAAAATCAAGACAATCCATTCTTGGCATCTCATGCATCTTCCAAAAATATACAAACATTTTAAAGGGGTGCCATTGCAAACAAAAAGCCCAGGCGTTAACAGTCAGCCTTTACCCTTTAGTTACCAGAAACACATGGATGTGTAAAGGCATCTTCATGTCAAACGTCTCACGGCTCCCAGACCGTACAGAGGTGGACTTCCTCTGAAACTTTTCACAACTGTAGACGCCTGATGGTGCGCATTGTCCACATCAGATGCAGAGACAGTCTCATGAGTAGCTTTCGTTCTCATCCCATGTGGTCATCCATTGCTTCTTCTCAAAGGGATCTAACATGACCTTTCCGTCTTTCAAGAGACGCGTCTCCTTACGAATCCTCACCGCATGATATTTCGGAACGCTGTCCTCATATTTGGAACGTTTGAAAAATCCACACTGACAGAGAAAGAAGAAAACCTCATTAAGCATCATTTTAAAAAACGGGCACATTTAAAAAAAAATATGTATATATATATCACTCTGTGTATGCTTTGGAGAACACTGAGAGACGGGACATGCTTGACAAAACAGGACATGTAGAAGCACATCCATCGACACAATACGAAACAAAACTGAGCTTCACACGGAAAGCAACATGAGTCTTTCCCTTCCTTTTGTCAGAGCAAAGGATGAGTTAGTGAGTTAGGTCACACGTCATGCAGACACCAATCTGCTGCAGCGATCGTGTTTTACCCTGGTAAGGAGAGCTAGGCCTCAGTGGACAGTTTGTCTGAGGGCTGAGTGTGAATCTCAGCTTTGTGAATTGCGGCATCATACTCGTCCTTCTGGGCCCGCTTGAAGAAACCGCACTACAGAGAGGGCAAATTCACGGGTCATTGCAAACATGTCATGAGAAGGCTTGTACTAAAGACAGTGGAATTCCACTAACACAAATTAATTCATAAGCAGTGGCCACAAAAAGCATTTAGGGCAGTAAAACCTGAATAAAAATGAGTGAATGTCATTGAATGAAAATAATAAAGCCGGTGTCATCTGCATCTCTCATCATTTGTCCTTCATGTCTTTAATCAGTTGGGGGTTTGGTGATTTTTAGTGGATGTATGAAGATAGTTCTCAAGTTTACACAGGTGTAGAGAATTAAACTAACTATCAACATGATCCACAACTAACCCTTCTGAAAAAGAAGTGCGCTTAATTGTTTTAAATTTGCACTTGTGAAGTACTTCAAATCCTAAAAGTAAAAAAAAAAAACGTGCAGATAATACAACATTAGTTAAATAAAAGCTCACTTAAATTTTAATAATGTCAAATTAAACCTTTTACTTTAAAAATATGTTTGTGTTTTAAAGAAGTACACTTATTTTGATGTGTTGATTAGCATACTAAAGCACACACATACATATATATATATTTGTTTAACTGTAGTGTGTTATTTGATGTTACATTTAAATTTAATATATTTTAAATGTACTACATTGCAACATCATCATTACAAATGTCTAACTGTAAATATATTCCAATATGACCAGTTTCAATAGAAAGGACATTAAAGTATGACATGCAAATAACATACAACTGTCAATAGAAATGGCAATAAAGTATATTTTAGTTTAAATGCTTGGCAGTACACTTCACCATATTTCAAAGACAGTATTATTATGTAAAGATGTCCTTTAAGAACTACTTAAGTGGCTCAAAAGCACTACATAGTTCAGCTAAATGCATCTAATATAAATTGAAACTATAACGCATTTTGATAATTGCAATTAACGTGCAATTAAGTGTCTGAAAACATTGCATTAATTTTGTACTTAAGTATATTATTTATGTAATAAGTAGCCTACTCTTAAAAGTATGCTACACTGTACTTCTTTTTCACAAAGGACACCTGATAAATCAATGTCACAATATGATTTATATCCATTGGTTTGGCATTTAAAACTTTATCTATCTCCTACCAACCTACCTATCTTGGAACATGACCATGACTATATATATATATATATATGATCAAAAACGGCAGTAAAAAATACATCTGCATTGTTTATCCTTTTGATCTTTCATTCAAATAATTTGCACAAATATAACCTTTCATTGAAGTAAAAGCATTGAAAGTGGGGGGTAAATCACATTATGAAATAAATGCTTTTCTCCAAAACACGCTGGTCACAATTTTATGTTTTTTTTCTTTGATTTTTGTTTTATTTAATGAAATGACATTCATTCAAGTGTACAGTACAGGCCCGTTCGCACCAAGAACGATAACTACAGAGATAACTATATTAGCGTCCACACCAGCGAACGATATCATTCTGTTTTTCTAAGCGTGTGCTTGACCGTCACTTTAAATGCTCGAGCTCATTACATCAGGATGGATTCTGATTGGCTGCCAATGTTTTTATAATTCATGAGCTGGGTAAAATCGTTCTGAAAGTGATTCCAACGATAGCGTTTCTCTGTGCAGTTATCATTATAGCTGTGGTGTGAACTCTGCTATTCTTTAATATTGAAGATATTTTTAGAACTATTTCTTTACCGTACTATTTATAGTTATCGTCCTTGGTGTGAACGGGTCTAAAGTCTCCAAATTCTTTTTAGGGCAGTAAATACCAGAATAAATAGTTTGTATTAGAAAACAAAAACACATTCAGAACAGAGAAGTCCACATGCAATATGAGCTTTCACAACTCTTATCCATGTGGCTGATGCCGTTGGGTTTTTTGTCAGCTTTGTGTTTGGGTGTGTGAGTGTTTTATTACCTTCCAGAGTAACAGAACTAGGAGAGCCAGCATCAGAATCCCAGCTAAAACAGCCACGAGAATGATCCACCAGGGAACTCCTCCGAACGGAGTCACTGTCGTCTCCGGGAACACGGTCAGCCTCACCTGGGAATCAGACGTACAGGTGTTCAACAAATGTCTTTAATGTCACAGGCTTAAATGTGTCACACTTTAGGAAACTGTGTTACCTGGGTCTCAGCATTTTTAAGGACAATGTTATTGGCGGAGACATCCAGACTTATGGAGGCTTTCACTATTATATCAAGGTAATTGTAGGACGCATAATCCTGTTGTTGAGAGGAAAACAAAACAGATTGCTTTAACAGCCTCAGGCACTGTTTCAAGGGAACTAAATAAGCCCTCGCCATTGTCCTTACTTCAAGGAAAGTGGAATTCCACAGCCGGGATTTTAAAACGATGACTGCAGTGCTGTCCAAGCCCTGTAGGGGGCATTTCATCTCCACGCATCTGGCATCACCACTGCACGACTGTGAGAAATAATAAAGTGTTGTTTTGGTCCCATTATTCCTAAAAATGAAAGTTCACTACAAATATAAATAACTAAATCTGATTACCAGAATCTTGTGCTTGCGTTTGTCAGTGAAGAGGGATGTTTTACTCCCGTCAGATGGTCTCCTCTCCTCCAGCTCACGCTTTCTCCTGGCTGACGTCGTCTCCTAAAAGAGTCACAGATGTGTCTACTATTTGTCCATGTTTTTAGCATCAATCTCAGCCAGAAAGGTTAACTCTTAAAAATGTTTCCTTGATCTAGCATTATTTTGACCCGAAACTCTTTTTTTTTTTTTTTTTAAATCTAGTGTTCATCAGAGGGGTCCAAGCAGTCCCGGCGCCATGGGCGGGCATTGGGGGGCCTGGCCCGCCCTGTGAGTCACTAGTGCCCGCCCTGAGCGAGTCTCTCCCTTCACCAACTCCACTTCAAGTCCCACCAGTCCTAGCTTGTTTGCACAATATCTTTTTTATCAATAGGCTACTGTTATCAAAAGTTATCCTTTTGAATATAGCCTACATAACTCCTGAATAAAAATAAAAATGTGTTTGGTCTGATTTTTTTCTAATTGTAAACGGATTGATTGGTTTGTCGATAGAGAGCGCGGAAATGCATGTGATAGCGGTCTTATTAAGCGAGTCATTCATTCAAACGTTTCGTTCAAACGCCATAGAGAAATGCACATTTCATACGGATTACATGAGCAGGGAGCAGTCTGTAGTCTGTTTTCTTTCGTTTTGAACTGTTCTGTTTAAAAGTAGACATGTCTGTGAGGCAAGCTACCTTATACGCCTACACTGAGTTTCGGTTCAATTGCGACGAGCTCCAGTTCACGCGCTGGCGCCTCCGGTTCGTCATTATCGTCTGCTATATTTACTTCTTATTTATTAAATCCATCCAGGCAATTGGTTGATGAAATATTGATTACAATTAAGATTCAATTAATACAAAACGAAATTCACTTTAAAGAAAGGTTTTGCTTTCTGTTTTTGATGTCTCTGTGAAAGTTTTAAAGCATCTTTTAGTGCCGCTTTCAGAGCGCTCACGTCCTAACATTGTTTTGTCCTCATAAATGCGAACACGAAAAATAAAATGAAATGAATATTTTATGCTCAGTGGAGACTACTGTTAGCCTACTCATAATTTGTATTCTGAATACGTAATACGTTGTATTACTTTGAATGAGTGTTTATGCTTTCGAGGTTTTTAAATAAGCTTGATATGTGTTTGGGAAGATGTTTATGTTTTGTTGACATGTCGAGTTTTTTCGGTATTATATTTCGTTTTTTTGGCTAAACAGCACAAGACTTTAAGTAGGCTAACGTTAGCCATTCTGTTTGTGCTGCGTGATTTAAAGAAAAGTGCGCTCTTGCTCACACGATCAGCATGGTGATCTTATGTTTTCTCCTAAATAAAAGCTCAAAGGTTTATTTCTTACAAGTGAAGAAATTAGGACAAAAGTAGTGTAATTTTCCTATTCTATAGCTTAATATAAAATACGATGTAATGTAGACTGAGACTATAATTAACAAGATGTTTGAGCCCTCTTTAGGTACAAGTCAATGCTTTTTCTTTGTTCAATGTGCACAGTTCATGGGTCGAAGCCGGTTGAAGCTCTTAATTTTGAGCTCTCAATGTGCACCAGATTGATGCATTTAAACTTAAAATGTACAACATTTTCTTGCGGGGGAGAATGCCCCCGAACCCCACTAGGGACAGAGGTCCACACAACATGCCCAGTTTTTTTTTCAATAATAATTCACAGCACCCACTGATGACCTGAAAACACCTCTCAAACCTACTTAAAAAATTAAATCGAAATTTGCGGAGGCAGTGTGTAAACGTACCTTTAGCGTCAGTAGCCTATTATATAATTATTATGCTCTATCGATCATTGCATATCATAATCGATTCTGTTATGATGCAATGAGGTTGTTTTCATTTGTGCCCCCCTGAAAAAAATGAATGCCCGTCCGTGAATTTGTGTCTGGCGCCGGGTCTGGGTCCAAGACACTAGGACTTTTGTCGCACTTGAACCATGAATACACACAAACATTTTTTGAATGGATTCGAGGAGTTTTGTGGTTTAAATTTTAAAAAGTAACAAACAAATCCTTCCCTCGCGGGTCGATTTGAGCCCCTTAGGAATGAATGCTTCAGTTCACATAGAAAAAAATGCTCAAAATTCAAACTAAAAATGCTAAAACTTGACCAAAAAGAATTGTATAATGTCTACATGTGTATCTGAATACATACTGAAAGTAACTGACTTTAGGACCCAGCAGAACAGCTCATTTGCTCCATATAGAGCTATAAGGCCATCGAGTGGCAAGAGTCATGAAATATCATGTTATATATCTTTTTTTTTTTCACAAGAGTTCGGCAAAGACAAAGACCCAATGTAATATATTCTGAGCTGAATTAAAAAGGTTATGCATGAAATTGTGAGTTATTTTGAATTTAAGTTGAAAGAATGTGGGGAATGTGCTTAAATGACCATTTATGTATTATGTATTGATCAAATCTAGTAATTTGAAGGTAAATCAAATTAAAAAATAACAAAAAAATCTCCCAAAAAATTGCATTAAAAAAATATGTGGTATCTATGTGTACCAGATGTGGGCCGACGCTATCTTGCTGTCTGGGTCAAATGTAAACTAAGACAGGAATATATTTGGTACCTCGCTCAGTCTGAGAGGGTTTATCTCTCTCTCAGGGGAACAGCTGACTAACTGCAGGCCCTTGGTGTTGATCTTCATCAGATACAGCAGCCATTTCCCCACAGAACTTTCTTTAGGCCACTGGATGTTTAGGGATGCAGTCCCAAAAGACTTCAGAGGCTTTCCCAAATTAATCACCTGCAAAACAAAATAAAAACAAGACAAAATATTAGGCTACAAGTGGTGCTTTGCAAAAATGATATCTAAAAAGGTGTATAATTCTTGAAAGTTATTTTGGCATTTACTCTGAATTCATATTCGATCAAGCTGCCGACTTCCTCCTCTGTCTTCATGGCACTCATGCCTCTGATTTGACCTCCAAAATAGACCTGAGACGGCTTGGCAACCCTGATACACAACAGACAGCAGTCAGATACTGTAACCAACACGCCTGCTGACATGTGACAGGACGTAGCACAACTAAGACTGAAAAAGAAGCGTGCTTATTTGTGTTGAATGTGCACTTGTGTACTTAAAATGTTTAAGTATATTTTAAAAAAAAACTTGCATGAAATAAAAGGACACTTAAGTGTACTTAAAGAATGTACACTTTCATGATTGTTTCTTAACAATTAAGTACACTTTTAAAAAGTGTGCTTTCTAATAATGTCAAATTCAATGTTTTAATGATCTTTTGTTAAGCTTTAAAGTACACTTATTTTGATGAGTTGACTAACATACTAAAGCGCATGTAAAGTACTTGATTATAATTTTAACCTTAGTGTGTTATTTGATTTTACATTTAAAGTCAATATATTTTAAATGTACAAAATTGCAACTTCATCATTACAGATGTGTTTTCAAATAATTAAAATATGACAACTTTCTATAGAAAGGACATACTTTGCCATAAATGCCTGTTAGACATACACTTTAATACTGTATTTCAACAGAAGTAATTATGAAATTACACTCTAAAGTTCAGCTAATTATATTTAATATAAATACAAACTATAATACATAATTATAATTCAGTTTGCACTTCTTTTAAAGTATATTGTTTCCGTAATAAGTGCTCTTTTTAACAGTAAGCTAACGTGTTCTTTTTCAAAGGGGAGTCATTCCACTAAGTATATGATGGCAGAGATACAGTACACTAGTAGTTATTATCAGCTGCTTTTAACCTGGGGTTAAGTGCTTTTCTCAAGAGTACAGTGCTGACATATTGATTTCTGTATTTCTACAGCCTCATGGTAAACCCTGCTTGAGACTTCCCCTTTGTATCAGAAGCCTTGACCCTTAAACATAAGAGTCCCAGCGGCTCTACTGCTGCATGTTCTGCACAAAAACCTGAATGCAATGGTGCAACATGTTTAATATTACTTTAAAATGCAATGGTAGACAGAAAATATCTCCTTAATGTCTCTGCCCACATCTGCTGCTTCTGTTACTGCTGAAAAAAGAGCCTAAAAATCGTGTGTATCTCCTCCGCTCGAAAAATGTCTCAAACTGTGCTTAGATTTGCAACGATCCCACATGAGATGAGAAATAAAGTGATGATACGCACCCTTGTACAGAAAGAAGAAGTTCAATCACCACTTTGGCTTTGGCCTTCACTTTACTCAGGCCCTCCTGTGAACTCGTTCTGTATGTGGATGTCATAAACATCAATATACATTCATCATACAATTAGTTCATATATCAAACATGCTTTAATCAAGAGTGGTTTTGACATTTTTTATATTTCATACGTTTCCAGCTGAAGGTCGATCTCAACTTCTTTGGTGTCGAGTGATATCTTGCCAGTGCTCAATATGATATAGAATTTTACCTATAAAACAACCATTTTTATTAAAATGACAATTGATGAAATAGATTCATACGGCATGGTTGAAGTATTACTGACCTCTGAATCCCGTTTAAAAGGGTTTCCCAGCTCACAGTCTGCCAGAGAGCCATTCTGATTGGCAGCACAGATCACGTGTTTATCCTACAGGATGACAGAGGTTTGGTCACATGACATCAGACCACTGGGTTAATCACTGGCCGCATTTACACCGCAGGTCCATGCCTTTTCAGCGCTCATTTTTCACTGCGTGTCTTCAGTAAATCCTGACAGTCGGTTTTTAATGCCAAGAGAGGGTTAGTAAATCTGGCCCTATTTCTGATTTTTTTAATGACCAGCTTACATCTTCTTTTAAAAGTGACCTATATCCAATATCTGCATTTACACTATACACTTGGTGAAACAACCCAAGGTAGACTTATTAACCTGGAAAAGCTTAGGCCAAAAAGGAAGTAAAACCGGTCTGAGAATATCAGAATCCATGTGCTTTTTCCCTGCTTTCATGTTCGTGGGTTATTTCCAGGGCCTAAAACTGACTTTTTGCCACAACCGCAAAATGGCCGGTGACTTAAGACATTTTTTATAAATATTTATTACCAGGGATGAAAAATAGATTAATCCTTAAGTTATTCCGAAAATATAATATTAGGAATCATAATAGGAATATTAGGCTGCTGTCACTTTAAGAGCTGCAGAGATCCAATATACTGTTAACACATGCGTTTTCTTTCTCAACTGTTTGCGTTCACTTAGCCCTCTGGTATATTACAGAAACTTTCTATTTTAAGTCTTAAAGGGATACTTCACCTCTGGAAAGATGAATGTGTATTTAAAATGGGTCTTTTATGTAGAAGAAATGTCAAATTATTTTTGAATTTGGAGCTTTCTAGACCGAGAAAAGACCGAAAATGTATTTTTGGCTTATGTGGATGAAAGACAACAACTCCCAGAATGCACTTGCTTCGCTGCCCTAGGAGGCCACGCCTACCGGTAACAGAGCGCAGTAGTTAAACAACAAGTCTAGGCTAGTAGTGAGTCTCCGTGGTGAGTCTGCCCGAAAATGTGTTTCGAGATCGCCCAAAATGTCCGGGATTCGGCTTTTGCGTTCTACAGTCGCCATTTATCGTGTTTACTGTGGCGAGCGGACGAGTGAGGGCCGCGGGAGAACGGCGCGAGTCATGTTTACTGTGGCGAGCAGGACGAGTGAGGGCCGCGGGAGAACGGCGCGAGTCATGTTTACTGTGGCGAGCAGGACGAGTGAGGGCCGCGGGAGAACGGCACGAGTCATGTTTACTGTGGCGAGCAGGACGAGTGAGGGCCGCGGGAGAACGGCTCGAGTCATGTTTACTGTGGCGAGCAGGACGAGTGAGGGCCGCGGGAGAACGACACGAGTCATGTTTACTGTGGCGAGCAGGACGAGTGAGGGCCGCAGGAGAACGACGCGAGTCATGTTTACTGTGGCGAGCAGGACGAGTGAGGGCCGCGGGAGAACGGCTCGAGTCATGTTTACTGTGGCGAGCAGGACGAGTGAGGGCCGCAGGAGAACGACACGAGTCATGTTTACTGTGGCGAGCAGGACGAGTCAGGGCCGCGGGAGAACGACGCGAGTCATGTTTACTGTGGCGAGCAGAACGAGCGAGGGCCGCAGGAGAACGACGCGAGTCATGTTTACTGTGGCGAGCAGGACGAGTGAGGGCCGCGGGAGAACGACACGAGTCATGTTTACTTTGGCGAGCAGGACGAGTGAGGGCCGCGGGAGAACGACGCGAGTCATGTTTACTGTGGCGAGCAGGACGAGTGAGGGCCGCAGGAGAACGACACGAGTCATGTTTACTGTGGCGAGCAGGACGAGTGAGGGCCGCGGGAGAAGGACACGAGTCATGTTTACTGTGGCGAGCAGGACGAGTGAGGGCCGCGGGAGAACGGCGCGAGTCATGTTTACTGTGGCGAGCAGGACGAGTGAGGGCCGCAGGAGAACGACACGAGTCATGTTTACTGTGGCGAGCAGGACGAGTGAGGGCCGCGGGAGAACGGCGCGAGTCATGTTTACTGTGGCGAGCGGACGAGTGAGGGCCGCGGGAGAACGACACGAGTCATGTTTACTGTGGCGAGCAGGACGAGTGAGGGCCGCAGGAGAACGACACGAGTCATGTTTACTGTGGCGAGCAGGACGAGTGAGGGCCGCGGGAGAACGGCGCGAGTCATGTTTACTGTGGCGAGCAGGACGAGTGAGGGCCGCGGGAGAACGGCGCGAGTCATGTTTACTGTGGCGAGCAGGACGAGTGAGGGCCGCAGGAGAACGACACGAGTCATGTTTACTGTGGCGAGCAGGACGAGTGAGGGCCGCGGGAGAACGGCGCGAGTCATGTTTACTGTGGCGAGCAGGACGAGTGAGGGCCGCAGGAGAACGACACGAGTCATGTTTACTGTGGCGAGCAGGACGAGTGAGGGCCGCGGGAGAACGACACGAGTCATGTTTACTGTGGCGAGCAGGACGAGTGAGGGCCGCGGGAGAACGGCGCGAGTCATGTTTACTGTGGCGAGCAGGACGAGTGAGGGCCGCAGGAGAACGACACGAGTCATGTTTACTGTGTCGAGCAGGACGAGTGAGGGCCGCGGGAGAACGACACGAGTCATGTTTACTGTGGCGAGCAGGACGAGTGAGGGCCGCGGGAGAACGACACGAGTCATGTTTACTGTGGCGAGCAGGACGAGTGAGGGCCGCGGGAGAACGGCGCGAGTCATGTTTACTGTGGCGAGCAGGACGAGTGAGGGCCGCAGGAGAACGACACGAGTCATGTTTACTGTGGCGAGCAGGACGAGTGAGGGCCGCGGGAGAACGGCGCGAGTCATGTTTACTGTGGCGAGCAGGACGAGTGAGGGCCGCGGGAGAACGACACGAGTCATGTTTACTGTGGCGAGCAGGACGAGTGAGGGCCGCGGGAGAACGACACGAGTCATGTTTACTGTGGCGAGCAGGACGAGTGAGGGCCGCGGGAGAACGACACGAGTCATGTTTACTGTGGCGAGCAGGACGAGTGAGGGCCGCAGGAGAACGACACGAGTCATGTTTACTGTGGCGAGCAGGACGAGTGAGGGCCGCGGGAGAACGGCGCGAGTCATGTTTACTGTGGCGAGCAGGACGAGTGAGGGCCGCGGGAGAACGACACGAGTCATGTTTACTGTGGCGAGCAGGACGAGTGAGGGCCGCGGGAGAACGGCACGAGTCATGTTTACTGTGGCGAGCAGGACGAGTGAGGGCCGCGGGAGAACGGCACGAGTCATGTTTACTGTGGCGAGCAGGACGAGTGAGGGCCGCGGGAGAACGGCGCGAGTCATGTTTACTGTGGCGAGCAGGACGAGTGAGGGCCGCGGGAGAACGGCACGAGTCATGTTTACTGTGGCGAGCAGGACGAGTGAGGGCCGCGGAGGAACGGCTCGAGTCATGTTTACTGTGGCGAGCAGGACGAGTGAGGGCCGCGGGAGAACGACACGAGTCATGTTTACTGTGGCATGCAGGACGAGTGAGGGCCGCGGGAGAACGACACGAGTCATGTTTACTGTGGCGAGCAGGACGAGTGAGGGCCGCGGGAGAACGACACGAGTCATGTTTACTGTGGCGAGCAGGACGAGTGAGGGCCGCGGGAGAACGACACGAGTCATGTTTACTGTGGCGAGCAGGACGAGTGAGGGCCGCGGGAGAACGGCACGAGTCATGTTTACTGTGGTGAGCAGGACGAGTGAGGGCCGCGGGAGAACGACACGAGTCATGTTTACTGTGGCGAGCAGGACGAGTGAGGGCCGCGGGAGAACGGCGCAAGTCATGTTTACTGTGGCGAGCAGGACGAGTGAGGGCCGCAGGAGAACGACACGAGTCATGTTTACTGTGGCGAGCAGGACGAGTGAGGGCCGCGGGAGAACGGCGCGAGTCATGTTTACTGTGGCGAGCAGGACGAGTGAGGGCCGCGGGAGAACGACACGAGTCATGTTTACTGTGGCGAGCAGGACGAGTGAGGGCCGCGGGAGAACGACACGAGTCATGTTTACTGTGGCGAGCAGGACGAGTGAGGGCCGCGGGAGAACGACACGAGTCATGTTTACTGTGGCGAGCAGGACGAGTGAGGGCCGCGGGAGAACGACACGAGTCATGTTTACTGTGGCGAGCAGGACGAGTGAGGGCCGCGGGAGAACGACACGAGTCATGTTTACTGTGACGAGCAGGACGAGTGAGGGCCGCAGGAGAACGACACGAGTCATGTTTACTGTGGCGAGCAGGACGAGTGAGGGCCGCGGGAGAACGGCTCGAGTCATGTTTACTGTGGCGAGCAGGACGAGTGAGGGCCGCGGGAGAACGACACGAGTCATGTTTACTGTGGCGAGCAGGACGAGTGAGGGCCGCGGGAGAACGACACGAGTCATGTTTACTGTGGCGAGCAGGACGAGTGAGGGCCGCGGGAGAACGACACGAGTCATGTTTACTGTGGCGAGCAGGACGAGTGAGGGCCGCGGGAGAACGGCGCGAGGCCGGTGGCGTGATTACTGATGAGCGACACCTGTGAGACGCATCGGTCTCGTATCTCTCACGGAGGAGCGGGAATTTTCTTAGCAATGTTAAAACGCACATCAACCGATCACTTGTTTAGCGTTCATGTAAACACTACATTCAAATACATAAATCTCTCGTCTCAGGGGGATATGAGGGTGGAAAGCACGGTAATTCGAAAATACTACATGTTTTCTACTAATACAAAGCTTAATGCTAAATCCTGTTTAAGTTAAGATCTGAAGTTAAGGCGAGACACGGCAGGCAAAAACATCTTTTTTTTCACTGGTCAATTTTGAGATTTCGGGATATTTGTCTTCAAAAACATGTCTTCTTTCAGACTTGTGGTAAAAAAAAGTTAGGGGTGGTGATGGCGCAGTGGATAAGACACATGCCTTCGGTGTGAGAGACCCGGGTTCGAATCCACTGTGAGACACCAATGTGTCCCTGAGCAAGACACTTAACCCCTAGTTGCTCCAGAGGTGTGCGACCTCTGACATATATAGCAATTGTAAGTCGCTTTGGATAAAAGCGTCAGCTAAATATGTAAATGTAAATGTAAAAGTCTGAAATACACATTTAGGTCTTTATTTTACTACACTTTGTCTGTTTGCGTCTGTAGATTTCTCATAAATTCATCAAAAGTTGGCGTTGTAAATCATCCGTTGCTCCGCTATCGCGATCTGCACCCTGTCATCACACACACTGTTAGAAAGCTCTCTCTCTCCTGTACAATGTTGTCGGATCCAAATATGGTCATTTCCTTTTTATCAGCAACCAATCGTGAAAGTAAAAGGGCGCAAATGCGCAATCTCATTGGCTGATGCTAAATCTTTAAAGCCCTTTTCTCAAAATGACCTTTCTCTCGTACTCAAAGTCCGAAATCTCCACTTCGGTAGCACCTATATACACCAAACTTTCCAGTCTTGTACCTAGTTATATTATGAAGACATTTACAGAGGAATTTGTAAATATATTATTCCTAGCCCGATTTATATAACATTTTATTCCAAAAAACATGGCAAAAATCATTTTTTTAAGGCTATTGACAGTATATTCTGATTTACAGGATAACAAAAGTAGATATCCATAAATCCCTCTGTAATTTTTTTCCCATCTAATATGTGAACACAATGAAAAAATAATTTTGAACCTGGCTTTATCCAATACTCAGATTTCATTTTTTGAAATATATGCAAATTTGTGCATATTTAATTAGACAATGCCTAATTTGCATATTTAAACATTAAATTACAGAAAACTTGTAATACATTTTTTTCTCATCTTAATGTAGGTAATCAACTGGGAAAGTTTCATGGTGATATCTGCTAGTTAAAAAAATTACCCTATTCACCTGTAGTGTCTCGCCTTAATTTAGGATTTTTCGCAAATTTGTATTACAGAAGCAAATCTTAAGTTGATTTAGGATTCTTATCCTATCTTAAAAACGATCAAACTGAAGTCTGTGCTCTAAAGCATTCAAGATTAAGTTTAAGTTTAATTTTCAGGTCTGTGCTCAAAAAGTAAATACATGGATTATAAATACAGCGAAAATATAATTTAGTACCATAGAATTCCCTAAAATTACAAAATATTCAATAAAAAACATTATCGAACTAAAATATATTACATTCATTTCATTGAAATAATAATAATAAAAAAAAATCTGTCATTTTTGACTAACACGCGAAGAGCACCAGAGGGTACATAACTGACTATGTTTACGAGGATACTTGCCAAGATGGGCATTTTAACATATTTTTGTTTGTATATCCCTGTTCAAGCGCAAGAAGACGTGTAAGAGAGTTTCAACTACTATGAATTGAGTTCCCTTTGCGTCTTCATGCGCTTGAATATTTGAAATGGCAAGGCTTAAACTTTCCTGAAGATGCAGCACGAGTGTCGCGAGTGTTCACGTTTGTTCACATTCCTAGCATTGCATTCTTAGAATTCATAACTGATGATTGACACCGTTTCATATACTCGCCAATACCGTATTTTTTCTAATTTGGTGTTTGGTGAGTTTATTTTAGGCCCTGGTTACATCCGATCTGTGCCGCATGGGAGGAAAAACTTGGACCTGGGTCACATGAGCCATGTAATGTAAATGTGGCCTGTGTTTAAGGCATCTGCAGTCTCCTATTGTGAGGACTTCACTGTAAAGTATGGATCGGTGTTAATTGATTGAAGTGGCATCATTATTGAAATGTATAATTGATTTAGTCTACTGAATCCCTGAAAGAACCAACTGTTTCTTCAGTTGGAGTTCATAGAAATATAGCAACAATATTTTTGTTTCAATGGTGAAATAATGAATTCAAACACAAGTGATGAAATGAAATTCAGAAGAGTGCCACAACGGAAAGGTTCAGGTCACATGACTCAGATATAGACGTGTGATACACTTACAGTAGTTCTCAGAGATCTGAATCCAGAGTATGACAGAGATTCATCAAACTGCCCCACCAATTTGGCTTCATGAGCATCATCTCCATTTCTGTTCGTCACTGTGACCTCCAGGGCAATGTCCTTCTGATCACTCAGAGAAATCACTGGCACACCATTCTCCCTGAGGGACGGATTTGAGCATTTAACACACCGCACACCAACAAAGAAACCTTTTATACTGATATATGTTCCTTAAATGACAAGCAATCAATCATGCCTTGTAGCAGACTTTTAATTTCACAGAGTCAGTAGTCATTTAATGTATTAAACAAAATCGAATTATATGTATTGTTATTTGATACATTATTAAGATTTCTCAATTTCCACTTGTGACCGGCTCATATTTCTATATAGGTGTAAAGAGAGCTAGTGTGTGTTGGGTGTATGTTGCATGTATTGCTGGTACACACAGAGGTAGAGGAGGGAACACATCTTGTTTGGACTCCCTGTAGCAGAACCTGTAGTGCAGATGTAGGTTACTCTGACAGATGTTGTCCTTGCCACAACCCTCCTTCAGGAAGTTCACCTATAGGCCAGGAAACAAGTCTAGGTTTATTATATCACTTCATTTATCAGCCTTTTACAATTTTTGTCTATGCAAAACTTATTGTTGACATTAAAGTGTCCTTGTCCAAAACTGTCCTTGTCCAGAAAGGAAACAAAGACATCATCAAAGTAGTCAATGTGACATCAGTGGGTTAGTTAGAGTGTTAGGAAGACAATACAATGCTGAATAAAGTCCTAGTTTTTGTTATTTTTGGACCAAAATGTATTTTCGATGCTTCAAAACATTGTAACTAACCCACTGATGTCACATGGACTACTTTGATGATGTCTTTATTTCCTCTCTGGACAAGGACAGTATACCGTACATACATTTTCAATGGAGGGACAGAAAGCTCTCGGACTAAATCTAAAATATCTTAAACTGTGTTCCGAAGATGAACGGAGGTCTTACGGGCTTGGGACGACATGAGGGCGAGTCATTAATGACATAATTTTCATTTTTGGGTGAACTAACCCTTTAATTATATAATATTGCATTTACTATATTACATTATATTACATCAGTAATAAAAAGTACTATTTTATAAGATATACACTAGTAATTTTTAAAATGGCACTGAGGTGCAAATAATATCTGCCACTAAGTGCAAAATTAATGATAGATCCGATTTACACTAAGTGAAAATAGCAGTATTTTATTTGCACTAAGTGTAAATAGTAGTTAGATGCTATTTATACTAATAGTGAATTATGCTATTTATACTAACAGCTATTTATGCAAATAGAGGCAGATATATTGTATTGTAGTCCATTATAAATCAGTATGCAATAATAACATATTCAGTGTCTCAAAAAATGGATGCTTCTTTATTGGGACATTATTTGTCCCTGTGCCAAACCCTATAAACACATTCCCTTCCACTTTTTGAACATTTTCTTTATTTTTATTTCAAATAAACACCTCTCTGAATTGATTTATGATTGGAAAATAGGAAGGAGTTTGGAAAAAGGTGGACTAGAACTCGGTTCGGTCAGCATGTCCTGATTTTGCCGAGTTAGGCAAACATTTTGTTGAGCCTAGAACAACATTCCTGTCCGAAACTTTAGTCCTAACCCTATCCCTACACTAACCTAACCCTACCCATAACGTATCCCAAAAATCAAAGGGAAATGATGGCAGGTGAATAACACTGATGGAGAAGCACCTAACTGTGGTTGTAAGCCTAAACTTGACATAAACTTTAAACTTGTCCCTCAAATCTGATTGGTTGATTGGATTGTTGTTCCAGGATAACCAAAGAGGTTGACCAAGGAGATCACCGTGATTTTGCCAAGACAGACATGTTCCTGGATTGACATATTTTGTTGATCCTGGAACAACATTATTGTCCAAAAGATTTGTCCTAACCCTACCCATAACTAATGAGGGTAATGATGGCAGGTGAATAACACTGATGTAGAAGCACATAACCCTGGTTGTAAGCCTAAACTTGACATAAACTGTAAACTTGTCCCTCAAATCTGATTGGATGATTGGAATGTTGTTCCAGGAACAACAAAGAGGTTGATCCAGAAACATGTTGTACTTGTTCTGTGATTGGTTGCGCCACTCGCATTACTCTTCACGCAAGTGATCTTCATTAGATTTCTGTGCAGTAAACTGCGGGTATACCTCAGTGATGGTCTTGTTGGGCACAGTGGAGTCCAGTATTGGCACTAGTTGTGGCAGCGAGCTCTGCCGTTTGCCTCTCTTAGCACTCTGAATGGCCACAGACACCTCGATAGGAATCGCTCTGAGCTTATCCCTGATGCCTTCCTGAAAACCAGAGCACAGCAGATCCCACTCAGTCAACATGTATCGACATTAACGAGAGCTTAGACAGAGGCTGAATGTCATAATAGAAGTCCCTAAATCCAAAATGAGAATTATAGGTATAGTGCATCCAGAAATGAAAATCTTTTTACAATACTTTTATGGTGTAACTTTTGATGCTTGAAAGATCCAGTCCCACGTTCATTGTAGTTGCACAGAAAAGCACAACCATTACAAAATTACACAACCGTTACCATTACCATTACACAACCGTTATAATTTCTCATTTTGTGTTACTTTAAAGTTGGCATGAAAATTCAAATATCTATTTTCTAAGTGCATGTGCACATATTGTGAACGATAAATCCATGCATATGTTTCATTTTTCAAAGTGTTTTGACCTTGTAATGTTCAATCAAAAGGTCAGACTTCTCTCAGGTGACGTATGCAGAATTTCTCCAATCATTTCGTCTGCTTAAAGAGGACCTATTATGCTTTTTTTTTACATGTTCATGTTCTTTCTTTAGTGAGCATAAAAATTTCTGCAAAGTTAAAACGCACGAAGCCACTCCAAAGGGAGTTATTCTCTATATCAGTTCAACTCCCTGAAACGTCTTGATTGTTGTCATGAGTTTTCTTCCGAGAACAAACACATCACAATATTTCCAATTTAAATAATTGGCATACTCAAACAAAGAGGTTGAGCTAAGCCGTTGAGTTAAACTGTGCATCAAATCAAGGTCAAATTTGATAGTAATAGTTACTAACCGGCTGTCGGTGAACATGTCAAACTAGCGATCAGATTTTAGCCTAGGATTTGAAGAATCTTTTAGGCTTCAATCAATTAGTCTCAGACAGCTAAATCGTGGCCAAAATCATACAGTGTGCTTAAAACGGAGAAGTTTTTCCTTTGAGTTTTCCGCGTAGAGATGACACCATTGTCAAAACGATCCCCATTCACCGTGAAAACGACTAAAAACGCTGTATTCTGCTGCCAGGCCATTAGATACCGATGAAACACTATAGACTGAACACGTAATACGCATGTGCATGACATCATCGTCTTCAGTGATTTGCGCTTTTGTTGTTTAGACCGTTTTCAAAAACTTGAACTTTGAAACCCGTTTTCAAAAGTTTGCGTTTTCAGGAGCCCAAAACGCTGTTGTCGTGTAAACGAACGGCCAAAACACATTAAAAGTTTTACGTTTTTAGTTGAAAACGGTGTCGTGTAAACAGCTTCTTAGAAAAAGGGCATAATATGGCCTCTTTAACCTCGCCCCTGCAAGCTCTCGTTCATCTGCCTCCACTTTTGCAAATTCTCAACATCCGATCAACAACCGATGAACCAAGCGCCCTATACCCACATTTTTTGTTACACTCGGATGTACGTCACAATATGGAAGAAAATGTCTATCACTACGACGTCAAGGCTTTATTTACTTGTAATCTGAGTTTGCTCTTGTAACAAGCTTTTTTGTTTTGTCCTCGCAGCTCCAGAGTGCCGGTCGACTGGAAGTCCTGATCCATCTCGTTCTTCTCCAGAAACACAACTCTAGATGGGAGACCCAGCTTCCTGCGGTACCACTCTGCCTCCAATGTACAGGAAATGGCTGGAAAACAAACAAAAACTGATTTAGGATGTGTGAACCTTTAGACATCAGAACAAAGAAATGCACTTATTTACTCCAGTGAGCATATCTTTGCCGTCTGTAACAGCATTATTAACACAGAATACATTTGGATTAAATCTTAAAGCCCCCCTGTGGTGAAAATCCAGCTTTTAATGTTGTATAAATGTCTATGTGGTGTTTTTAATATGCTTTCAGACAAACCATGTGTAAATTCATAAGTCGACAGCATTGCTAAGTACTTTCTCCTTAAAACTGCAGCGAACCAAAGACAGTCTCAAAAACACGGTTTGAAATCGCTGGTGTTTCTGACGTCACAAACTACCTTGTAACCAATCAGATCAACGTGTGATCGTCAACGAGTGGATCTCTGAGGTGAGTGAGTGAGCGGAGGCGGGGCTCAATTGCATATTCATAGAACCGCGTATACTTAATGAGGCAAGGGTGTAGAGTTACATTCAAGCTATTTTAAGGCACAAAGACATTTTTTTCAAGGAAAAAACATTTCAATATGTCATTTTGGTGATCAAAGATGATTTTTAAGGGATAAAATGATTGACTACAGGGGGACTTTGAGGCCCGTTCACTCTACGAAAAAAAACTATAAAGAAAATTATAACTACATCAGTGTCCACACCAATGGACGATAAAGTTCTGTCTATTACAGTATAAGAGCGCTCTACCGCTTTAAATGCTAGAGCTCTTTTAAGTCCCTTTAATTTCTGATTGACTGTCAATGTTTTTATGGTTCATCAGCTGAAAAAAATAAAAAAACATAGTTGTAGACTGATTCCAACTTTATAGTTATAGTTATCGTCCTTGGTGTGAACGGCCCTTTAGACTAAACAATAAAAAACTGTAATAGATAATGAAAGTTTCTCATTATAAGCGCGTAAACAGACTTACTGATTTTAGGGTTGTAGGTGTGAGGGTTTGCTCTATATGTGAAACAAGCTTCCACAGTCAAGCTGCGAAGAAAAACACATAATTATCTTCACACAGGACAGACTTCAAAATGTCTAGCACGTCTATGAGCGATGCTTTCTCAGTTCTTGTTTTGTCAGTATCTCACCAAATACTGTTGCCACACGTTTTCTTCATCAAGTCAATTTCCTTCGGTGTCACCTTGATGTCTTGCTTGATGCTAATAACCGTTTTGGACCTGAACACAAGACGGATGTTGTTATAGCATCTTAAAAATCTTCAGGTAACAACTTTGATATTAGAAGTGACCTATCAGCACCTGTAAATAAAAACTGTGTCAGAGAGCGACCCAACGGCGAGATCAGGGTACGAGTTCTGATCCAGGTCCATATTTCCGGCCAGAGAATAGCCAAACATCTTAATATTGTGCTGTTTGCCCTCCAGTATCTGCAAGATAACGTTGAATGTCTTAGTGTTTGTTCATAAAGGCTTTATTAATTTGTTAAACAGCAAAGAACACACCATGTATAGACTAAAACCATATTTTTTTGGTATGAAAAAGACAGATTTAGTACAAAGTTACATCAGATGAATGTCAAAACCAAAGTACATTCAGATGTTAAAATATGTAAGTATCTATTTTTTTTCACCAATGTTTTATCCTGAAAATGGAAAACCTTTTAAACTGAATAACACTGGGAAATGCTCATAGTGCTATTTATTCCTTTCAGTTCCACCATTAATTGATCCAAGTAATTTCTCTCTGATGTGTTCCATTAAAATGGCAGACAGAAGAGAAAACGGAGAGAGACAGAAATTGGAGAGTGTCTAACCTGAGCTGGTTTGGTATTAATGCCGTCAGCGGATCCGTGGTAGATGTACACGCTACCGAACCCTGAGTCTGCATATGGAGCTCCTACAGCAATATCTGAGAAGCAAGCAAGCAATATTAAACAACCTTGAACCTGAACAAACCGAAAGAATTCAAATATTCTCCGTCCTAAACTAAAAAATCAACCCTTGCATTCAACCTTCAAAAGAATCCAGATTAATGTCTCCAATGTTCTCCACAGCCAGTCCAAACATTGAGTCTTTGGTTCCATTCAGGCGAGTAGGAGTGACGTCCTTCCACCTTCCAGCTTTATTGATGTAAACGTACACAGCTCCACCCACTTCCTCGTCTCTCTGGTAGAACTGGGGTGCACCAACCACAACGTCCTGCCAACTGGAGGGACAATACACATGATTTAGCTGCCCACCCTTGTGAAAAAGTACAGAGCCCCTAAATGTCAAGTCAAGTCACCTTCATTTATATAGCGCTTTTAACAATATGGACTGTTTCAAAACAGCTTTACAGTGATAATCGGAAAATTTAAGTAACACAGATTGTTTTGGCTTTACAGCAGCTCTAGAATAAAGTTACTGTCCAACTAAAGTTAGTTTTTTAAATGATTCACTTCCATTGCAAAGATCATTAGTTATTAACTTAGGCGCCGCTTACACAAGACCATTTTAACTGAAAACAGAAAACTTTGAATGTGTTCTGGCCACTCATTTGCAGGACAACAGTGTTTGGTGGCTCGAGAACGCAGACTTTGTGATAAGTAATAATAAATGGACCTTTTCAAAAATTAAAATTAAAATACACAGACTTTTGTGTGCGCATGACAAACATTTGCGAATTGTGAAAGAATGGTTGGGAGGAGCATGAAGAATCATTTTCACACATGAATTGGAGTCCAGACCTTAAATTCATTGAAAGTCTTTGTCTATACAAGATCTTGACCAAAAATTGATGCTTGTCTTGATGGAAATAAATATTGTGATGTTATTTCCATCAAGAGGTGCATCAATTTTTGGTCAAGATCTTGTATTGACAATGCAAGAGTCCAGCACTCTGTAAAGTCTCCTCCAGCACATCCCAAAGACTCTCAATGAATTTAAGGTCTGGACTCAGAGGAGACGATTCATGTGTGAAAATGATTCTTCATGCTCATCACAACCATTCCTTCACAGTTTGAGCCTGATGGATCCTGACATGGTCATCCTGGAATATGTTCATGATGTTCTTCCTACATGATTGTTTAAGAAATGAAAAGCTACACACTCCAATAATTGGTTAGAAGAATTGTTGCCAAACATATAACATGCTAGAAATATAATAATCACTGCAATAATGATCCAATCATAGACCATTAAGCACTTGCCTATTTAAATCCAAACAACGAGAATATACTTAAGCGCAAACTGAATGCAATGTTTTAGACGCTTAAGTACATGTTGTGTACAAATAAATGAAAATGTATTATAGTTTAAATGTATATTAAATTCAATTAGCTGACCTTCAGAGTTCTTTTGAGCCACTTAAGTAGGATTTAAGTACATCTTTTAGTAATTTCATTATTACTTCTGTCTTAAAAAAAAGATTAAAGTGCACTGCCAAATGTACTGAGAAGCATTTATGGTAAACTAAGATTAAGTTAGGGTTAAGTTATTAAGTTACGTTAAGTTGTTATGTTTAGTTTAAGTAGGTCAAGTATTTAATTATATTTTAGATTTAACATTTATAATCATGAATATACAATTTAGCACATTTAAAATATATTAACTTTAAATTTTATTTAAAACACACACTAATTAAATAACCACGTACTTCACATGTGCTTTAGTATGTTAGTCAACACATCAAAATCAGTGTAGTACTTCTTTAAAGCATGACAAAAGATTGTTAAAATAAATTATTTAAAATGTATTTTAATGTAAAACTTTTAATTTGACATGATAAGGTGCACTTAACAAGTGTGTTGTTAGTCAAGAAAGTGCACTCTCTTTAAGTACACTTAAGTGGCCTTTTATTTGATTAATATTATATCATCTGCAACAATACATTTTTAAAAAAAAATTAAGATTTGAAGTACACTACAAGTGCACATTCAATACAATTATTGGTAGGATTTTATTTTACAGTCCCGTTTCTCATATGTACTTATTGTATTAATGACACTACCGGGTAATAACTAGGTACTAACCCTGAACCTACACCTGAACCTTAACTAAACCCATGTAATTACATTATATTACTCAATTCTTTCTTAGCTAAGAACACTAAGTACACATACTGTAAAATAAAGTGCAACCCAATTATTGAGATTGAGCAGACTTCTTTTTCACAAGGGCACTCACAATCTACCCACTCCTTTTCATAATAAACAACATTTATTTTCTACAGATCTTGTATCACTCACCCATCTCCGTTTAGGTCCACCACAGCAACATCATATCCAAAGGAGGACGCGAGTCCTGGTCCTTCCAGAATGTGTTCAGACATGAGCCTGGTGGAGGCTTCGTCTTGCTTGCGCAGAAACACCACTGCACCGCTGTGATTGGCTCTCGGCGCTCCGGACACGATGATGAGTCTCCCTTTTTCTGTGATACTGTGGCCAGAATCCAGAGAGAATCCTGTACATATGCAAGATTCAGTGTCACAAAAAACATTAACATCAAAACACACACACACACACACACACACACACACACACACACACACACACACACACACACACACACACTCACCTAAGTAACTGTTGGCTGGTACTGGCACTAGATTTGGATCAAGGCGGTTTTCATCCCCGACCTCATAAGGCCCATCATCAAACAAGCCCATTTCCAGCAGAGTGTTGTTCTTCTGCTCGACGCGCACTATACCTGGAGAACAGATGTGATGGGGTGAGTGCTAAACAACAAGATTATTGGGACACAGGAAAACAGATGATTTGAGTTCTGGTTGTAAGAAACGTGTATTTAATTGTGCAAATCCCTGCGGAAAAAAAAAGTGGTTAATTGTATTGAATGTGCACTTGTAATTCAAATATTGAAAGTATATATTTTTAAAAACTGTAATGTGGATATTATAATATGTATGAAATAAAAGGCCACTTAAGTGTACTGAAAAAGAGAATAGTTTCATGACTGTTTCTTATCACACTTTTTTTTTTTATGACACTTAAGTACACTTTTAAACAGTGCAGTTGCATCCCTTTCCCACTCTACAGATAAAGCGTTGTTGAAAATCCGGTTTGCGTACCTCGAAGTGATAAAATAAAATTCTGTATCAAATTTATAGGCAAGACAAGTAGTTTGTTTAGGCATGGTTTGTTGGGAAATTACAAACCTGCGCACACATATTCAAACGAATATAGCTATAGAATCAATTTTTAATGCGCATGTGAACGCCATCCGGTCACAGGTTCGCGTTTAAAGTCTGTTTAGAGAAAACGCCGTCGTCTTAGTGGCCGCTAATGTAATAACAAATGATAATTTTGCTGGAAGTGAATCAATCAAAACCAACTTTAGCTGGAAATAACATTATTCAAAAATCGCTATAAAGCCAAAACAATCTCTGTTACCGTAAATTGTATGTTTATCTCTGTAAAGCTGCTTTGAAACAATCTCCATTGTTAAAAGCGCTATATAAATGAAGATGACTTGACTTGACACTTTGTAATAATGTCAAATTAAAAGTTTTATTTCAAAGTACTTTTTGAAACGTAATTTTTTAAAGAAGTACACTAATTTCAATGTGTTGACTAATACTACAAAACATGTTAAATCCTTGATTGTAACTGTATGGTGTTTTTTGCTATTTTTATATACATATTTTTTTTAATGTACGAATTTTTAACTTCATCATTACAAATGTGCAATTACATATATTTTTTAAATACATAGCATATACATTTCTATAGAAATTACATTAAAAGTATATTTCAGTTAACCTTATAATATATACTGTGAGTATCAAAAGCCCTCAAAATTTCAGCCAATTTTAAAACACATTTTCATTTAATAGCAATTAGCATGCTATTAAGTGTCCAAAAACATTACATTCAACTTGCACTAAAGTATATTCTTTAAAAGTGTATTATTTCTGTAATAAGAACTCTTTTTTAAAAAGTATGTTACACTGTACTACTTTTTTCACAAGGGAATAAAATTGTGTGAATTAAGTGTTGCAGTGCTCCTCCTCACCAGTGGGGGTCCCCATGCATTCAGAACATAATGCATATAAATGCATATAAAATGTAAGACACTGACTATTTTTAATGATCACTCGATCATAATAAATAAATGGTATCAATATGAGTTGGTCATGAGGTAAGACCCTGCCAAAGGTCAAAACAATGACCTGTGAGTCACTTCTGACCTGCTCTCAGCCTCATTCGACACACCCAGACCACACACAGACTCTTCAGTGACGGCTGATGTGTATTCTGCTTTGTTCTGTGAGTATTTCTATTAGATAACCTGTACCTTTTAACGTTTTGATGGACAGAATGCACATTATTTTTCAGTTTCAGAGTTGGCCAGACTTTATGCCTACAAAGTCTGTGCGTCTGTGTGTGTGTGTTTCAACATTGCTCCTAAAACGCACAAAAACACCCTTTTATGTATTGCATCAAATGTCATTCCTACCTTTCCAGTTGTACGCCCCTGGTGCTCCAAAGATGACATAATGGTAGTCTTTAGTGAAGGTGGCAGCCAAGCCTTGCTGACAGGCCCCGAATCGTTCATGACCCCGAGTGCGCCCATCACAGAATTTCCAGTTCCCCCCATCCTCGTCGGATTGGCTGTCGATGCTCAGGTCTTGACTGAGCATGTAGCAGCGTCCAGTGATGTCGCGCGCCTCCTGGGGTGTGTTCGGGAACAACAGACGCTGGTAGCGATGGGCACATGTCTGACACAGAAAGAAAGATAAAGTACGTGTCATTGTGACATTGCGTGACACAAATAATAAATCTAAAATGTCAAAATGATGACAATGTAACTGGAAGTCAATTAATGGCCCATTAGCATTCAACTCTGTTCTTGACGCACCACAATCTTGCCTCCAGGTCCTTGGCTCTGAACCGTTACACCCATCCACTGGTTCTCCTTATTCTCCACAAGAACATCAACTGTGATGGTCACCGTGAACAGAAACCAAGTCACGATTACAATTTCAAGATCTATCAGAAAATCCTGGCACTGCTGACTAGATGAGCATTTAAACCAATAAAACAACAAATTATAATCACGACAAAAGTCAGTTACAGACATCAACTGCGCCTGAGTTCTCATGTCATATTGTTAAATCTCGGGTACACAGATTTTTTGAAGCTATAAGATGATTTTGCTGCTTACCATCATTGTCAAAGTCCACTCGAGTACAGTCATCAGGATGGGTGGTGATGTCACAGCTGTACAGCCCACCCGTGATGTTTGCTCCCTGATTGGATAAAGCCCTGGCTGTGGGAGCACCAATCAACAATCTGTGCAAAGAAAGAAAGAAAGAATATATATATAATATTGACAATACAGATAAACATACTCTATATTATTAAAACAGACTATTTATGCTATGCATTTTTTGCACTTGCTAGAATATTGCATCAATAATGTAGCACCATGCTAATACAGTATATGTCTACTGGAATTAAGAGTGTTGCAATATACTGGTACTGACAAAAACTGTGATATTAAAAAATAAATTGCTGATACATCACATATTCTAATATCATAAACAAACCAGCGACAAGCAACTATCTACTTGATACTCCAATACAGTAGGGGGCGGTATTGCACATGACGCTGGTTGTCACTCACCATAAAATAACAAAAAAGTTGACGACGCAGAGGCTGCATCCGAAATCGCACTTCCCTACTATACAGTAGGCGAAAAACAGTGTGTGACCAAATAAGAATGTCCGATTTCACTGTATACTCACAAAAGAGAAGCAAAAAAGTACCCGGATGACCTACTACTTCGAGTGTGCTTCCGGTGGACACTTTACTATCCCATGAGGCCACAGGAGAGGATTTATGAATGGAGGTGAAGTGACGCAGCGTAAGGGCCCTTACATAGTCAACGCATCGGTACGCATACGCGTGCGCAAGGCTACACATCGCTACGCTTCGGCCGCCATTATGCGTCGATGCGTAGCCAAATGTGTCATCCTAGTTTTTGATACGCGACGCGCCGATGCACGCAATACTATGCGTTGTCGGTGGGGGCGACATTGCAAGTAATGTACATAAAAAGGTATATTATTATGTTTACAGAAGAAGAAGATTTGAATACAATGGCGGGCGAAGGGGAAAAGTTATGCGAGCTTGTTCGTATACATCCTTTGTTGCCGCCGATGTAAAATCAGCAATATGCACTCCTCTTCAGTTGCCATTTTGATCTGAATATTACGTGACCCGACTCTAGACTCTACTACCCCCTGCTGCGCGATCGGTGTATTGCATTTCACGCATCGCCGGTGACGCTTGTGTACTATGAAAAGGAGCGCGTAGCTCGCGACGCTCCGTTGCTTGCTCGCGTTGACTATGTAACGGCCCTAAGGGCCCTTACATAGTCAACGCATCGGTACGCATACGCGTGCGCAAGGCTACACATCGCTACGCTTCGGCCGCCATTATGCGTCGATGCGTAGCCAAATGTGTCATCCTAGTTTTTGATACGCGACGCGCCGATGCACGCAATACTATGCGTTGTAGGTGGGGGCGACATTGCAAGTAATGTACATAAAAAGGTATATTATTATGTTTACAGAAGAAGAAGAAGATTTGAATACAATGGCGGGCTTAGAGGAAAAGTTATGTGAGCTTGTTGTATTGCCGCCGATGTGAAATCAGCAATATGCACTCCTCTTCAGTTGACATTTTGATCTGAATATCCCGTGACCCGACTCTAGACTCTACTACCCCCTGTTGCGCGATCGGTGTATTGCATTTCACGCATCGCCGGTGACGCTTGCGTCTGCTTGTGTACTATGAAAAGGAGCGTGTAGCTCGCGTCGCTCGCGTTGCTCGCGTTGACTATGTAACGACCCTAAGGTCCTCGCACACTGAGTCCGAAATGTTTGTATGCGTTTTTTCGTATCCGTCATTCGGTGGCTCTGAATTGTCAAAACACCTCTCAAAATGCGAAAAATGCAGAGAATCGAACCCGATCCAAATTTTTTTATTATGGACAAAAGTTTCTAAACGTCGACGGTCGCATTTGTTTTTTAACGTGCGAAAATTTCGGACAAGAATTTCAGCAACGAATACACGTCTGGATAACATTCAGACTATGTAGAACGTACTTTTTAGCGATCGTAATGTAAGTACATACTCAAGAGAGTAGCCTACATTTCAGACGTTAGCCTGTGTGTAGCTAATACTGCCGCACAAAACCATACGTGGAGAGGACAGATTAAAGTGAAACTCTCTACCCGCATCCGAAAAAAGTTAGCGCGCTAGTGTGGGAAATTTTGTAAATACTGTAAAAAAGATAGATTTAAAGTCCTGCAGATTTTAAGTTCGCATTCTTTTAATTCAACTGAGAAATCACACCGGTCACATGATATGAATTTCCAAGGAAGAGTTCACCAAACTTGAACTTTGGAACGCATACTGCAAAATTCGCATGAGCTTGCGTTTCCTCACAAATTTGCATGTGTATGAATGAAAGACAATGGATTGAAAAGTGTAGTGTGACAACAACTCCCTTAGTTGAGTAGCAGCACTATTTAAAGTAGCAGCTACTTTACAACTACACTATTTGCATCTATAGATGATTTTGGAACCGAGTCATAGATTGGTAGAAAGACAAAATACAGGAAAGACCTTGTAATTATGACATGATTATCAGTCTTTCATAAATGAGACTGGTGCTTTCTGATGAAGAGGATCTGACAGATTATTTCATCAGCGGGTGTCTTCCTGTTTCCACGGCCATCAGCCAGCTGCAGAAAATCAATTATTTACACACACACACACACACACACACACACACACACACACACACACACACACACACACACACACACACACACACACACACACACACACACACACACACACACACACACACACACACACACACACACACACACACACACACACACACACACTGCTGTCATCACACCACAACAAAACACGCATTCAATTGTGTAGATTTTGGGGAAACCCTATAATCATGTGTCTTTTTATAAATCAACGTTGAAAAGAATTGAGTATGAGACGCTGGTGAGACGCTTGTGAAATCTGAAGAGAAAAAACTGAATATACATGAAATCAATAACTGTCTCACTCAATATCTTCATTGTATTACAGCACATAAATAAACATTATAATAAATATGATCCATCTGCTGTGTAACCAATCCCTTTTTTCCACAATTCATTCCAGACACACCTTTCCTGAGAGAAGGAAAATTCTTTCCCTGCCTATTATCACATCCATAGCAGTTTAAGTTTTTCAAAGAGTAGTCTTTAATAAAAAATGTACCAGACAGACATTAAAACGGCATGGCAGTGCAGTGAGGCACACAGTGGCAGTTTGCTTAAGTCCTTCACACACACACACACACACACACACACACACACACACACACACACACACACACACACACACACACACACACACACAGCGGTTGAGAACAGCTGGCTCAGCAACTGTTATTCTGATGAAACGCTTCCAGAACATTCTTCTTGTTTGACAGCCCTTGTGAATCAACAGTTCTGGGCACTTCAGTAAATGAAAAAAATAATAACTTGTTTCTGTCAGACTTACAGTCAACAAAGGGAACTTGTTGTAAGACAAATGAAGAAATGAAAAGAAAAACGTTGGCATCCATTTTTTTCCAGGCAGAGTTCTGAGCATGTTTCTAACATTAAAGACTGTATTACGGAGCCCCGCACATGACATACGGGGAAAGATGTCTGCGTCTGAAAGCTGTAAAATGCTTCTTCTACTGCCAGGATACTGAGCTAAGGCAACAAGGCACATCCAAATCCAATGATCGTGTCACTTCCTGTCTCCTGAGATTCCTTCATGTGAATGATTTTTGAAGGCAGCATTGATGTATCCTTCGCTGTCTTTGATATCCCACAATCCTGTGCTTCCCATTCTGTGACTGTTGAGTTAAAAAATAAAGATGGGCGTCTGAAAGTTGCAGTACTGATAATTTGTTCCCTTGTTTTAGTTCAATAAAAACGAGCTAAATAGTTCAACATAACAAAGATTTACTAAAACGAGAGAACGAACTATTAATTTCTAATTTGTGGCCATGATATAGCTATATTTTTGTCTACATGTCATGTGCGGGTTCAGTATAAAATAACTGAAAAATGTACTTGGAAGTTTGCTATATCTGAAACAAACTCTTTTGGGGATGTCATCAAAAAAAAAGGTTCATTAAGAGACTTCAAAAAGTCTACAAAAATTATATTTTTATGGGTCTATACTTCTACATAAGTGAATCAATCACAATAAAACAAGATTGTTACCATTATTATCGACAATGCTGTATGTGCTGCAAGTATGCAATGTCAGATTGCAAATTAAATTGAAAAACTGGATGAAAAACAGTAAACAAGTAAGGAATGATGTCACAGTCAGCTGATCATTATCACAAAATAATCTCCAGAAGGGTGATCCGGACCCTGACACAAAATTTGCACAAAATCTGCTGCTTAGCACAACCGTCTAATAAACAGACTGGTAGTCCAGAATGCAGAAATAAATAAACCAGTGTCATTGGAAAAGCATGCCTGTGGTGAAATTTCCAGTAGCACCTCAATGCAGTACATGAGATCCACGGGGAGGAGTCGGATCAAGATCCAAGGGGTGGAGATGGGTAGGATTAGGGGTGGGTTTAGGGATTAGGGGTGGGTTTAGGGATTAGGGCTGGGTTTAGGGATCAGGGGTGGGTTTAGGGATCAGGGGGCGGAGATGGGTAGGATTAGGGGTGGGTTTAGGGATTAGGGGTGGGTTTAGGGATCAGGGGGCGGAGATGGGTAGGATTAGGGGTGGGTTTAGGGATTAGGGGTGGGTTTAGGGATCAGGGGGCGGAGATGGGTAGGATAAGGGGTGGGTTTAGGGATTAGGGGTGGGATTAGGGATCAGGGGGCGGAAATGGGTAGGATTAGGGGTGGGTTTAGGGATCAGGGGGCGGAGATGGGTAGGTTTAGGTATGTAAGGTGGGAGGAGTTGGATCTGAATCCGACTCCTCCCCGTGGATTTCATGTTCTGCAGTGAGGACCATCTCGAAATTTCAGCAAAATGATATGTTGCTTCTTGCTTGTTTCGTGACATTTTGTTCAGGGTTATCTGAAACAGATAAATGTTAATCTAACATACATACCTCGGCAGTTCAGAAATTAAATGTCCGGTAAGTGGTGCTAAAAAGGTTAACGCTCAATTGCATCACCTGACCAATAATGTTTGCAAAAGAAAGCGTGAGATAAAAACCCATATGCTGAAGCAACCATGCCATTTT